CTTCATCTTATGTGGAGTGTGGAGGTTTGCAGTTTATTATCTGCAGTAATAGCTTGACGTCCCAGATTTTTGTAACACTGCTCCTCTAACCTGTAAAACACAAGTTATGAATTCCCGCTTTTTAATGTAGCCCAAGACCTATGAAGTACAGCATTAAAATCTATAAAACATGTAACATCTGCATCTTTATGGGACATGATTTAAGCTCTGAAACATCATGATCAAGGAGTTGCATTACTGGAAATGCAATTTCATAAAAATGTTTACTACTGCTCAGTAGTAAGCGTTCAATTTAAACAATTAAAAACCTCCACAAAAACAAAGGTTTGTTTGCCAAGTGATCAAATCTTTGACCTAACAGGCAGCCTACAGAGCTGAAGCAGGATGTTTTGATATCAGATGAGTGTTGTTGCGACATGCCGTGATGCCACATTTGTCTGCGTGTGTCATCACTCATGCGGCTGACGAAAACCCACCCTGTTTGTTACAATCCGGCAGGCCCAAAAACCCTCTGTGCTGTTTCTTTAAAAGGCTTCACGGGTGCGTTGCCTTGTGCTCGGGGCATAGTGGGGGAGGGAGGGACCTTGTTGATGGAAAGATGAGCTCTGATTGGCTGGCTCCGGCTGAGGGCAGTGACATCACGCGGAGGAGAGGCCCTCTGGTGTAAAATAACATCTCCTTATATGGGATAAGGTGGACAGTGCCATTCTCAGAGAGAGGTGAGATTTGTTCCCCACTCAGTTGTCCCTCTTTTAGAGTTTCATCCTAATCTGCCTTCTGAGGCCTTTTTGGAATACATTTGTTTCTTTTTTGTATTAATCTTCACAGTTGGAACCCATTGTTCTTTGTCTTTCTTTGTATTACTTACTGTTTTCTGAGATTATCATCGAGGTCTAATTTACCCCAAAATACACTTTTTACAGTTTTCTTTTTTAAGCTTTTACTAGTATAATCCAGTTTAAAGAGATACTGATGCCTCAGGTAAGAGTTTATCTTAAACAACACTTCTCTCTAATTCATTTGCTTATTTTAAAGTACAAGGTGTGTGCAGTTGAAGATTAAAATAGGATCAGCGCTTTAGTCTCATACCCTTTTCACCCATTTCTTTATCGCGTTCACTCTTTCCATTTACCACATCACAAATGACCATCTGCACACACATCCACCCCCACGCTCTTTTCAGCTCATCTATCCTCCATTCAGACTAACCTCAGAACAACAAACAGAAACAAAAGCCGCCACTGCCTCCAGACCTCACCTAGCATGTGACTACCCCCACCGTTTGTCAGTGTGGTATCTCCCGAGAACAGGCAGTCGCCTCCCCTCCCTAAGTCAGATTTTCACTCTAAGGAAATGCTCTATACCTTTTGAGCCGAGTAAAGAAACTGTAGTTGCACTCTTCCAGCTGGACGGCCACTCATACGTTGAGCTGAAAAGGCTCGGGTCGTCCTCCCCAGAGGAGACTGGCACCCAGCTCTGGCCTGACAAGTAATGACGAGAATACTTCTGAATCCCTGGGAGATCCTCTGAACCTTCCTCCCCTCCTCCTTCCAATGTTTCAGTGGTTGGGGCCATGGCCTCTCAGTCAGGGTAAGAAAAGTACAGCTAGCTTGCTGCTTTCCTCGTTCTCTTGACGTCTCTTCATCAGAAAACTCTCATTTGATTTTTTTTTAATCATGTCAGAAGTTGTTTTGTGGATAAGCTTGTATAAAAGCTTAGTCACAGAGGCCCAGTCCTTTTTTCATGGTGCTCAGATTTTTTTCTTTTTTTTTTTTTTTGTTGCTGCTGTTAAAGGGCTGGCTGTTATGTAGTAAGTTAGAGAGAGATGAGAGGGCTGATTAGTTTAAGCACAACATAAACTGCCTTCTAAACTTTGGAGACTTTGACCTTTTGAGTTTGCACACTGTTGAATCACCTCAGTAAATGTGGCTCTCTGTTCCACACTGGCAATCGTGCTTTATAAACTTGTGTTTGAATAGATTAGCACAAGTAAGGTTTCCCTTTGCTTTACACGATACACATGTTCTACCTTATTATTTTAGTATTGGAATAGTCCAGAAGGACATGGCCCTGTTCTCACGTGCAAGCCAAAGCTCTTGATCGACTGTGGAACATTAGATATATCGCTTACGCTGTTATAAAGCAATTAAATGTGGTTTTACTGAGGGAAGATGGTTCCTAAACGTGATGTTATTGAGTAATATCTTATCAGTACAGATCTAAGAGTTAATAGTATTGGCAGCTTGTGCAAACCCTTTGTATAGTTTGAAACGTGAATATTTTTAAGGAACTACCTTAGAAAATACATTCACTGATCAAAAACAGCTTATTAGACTAGAAGAATGAACTATCTTCCACAATGCAATCGTTTTGACTGACCTTTTTTAGCGTGTTCCATTCTATCTGATCTGTTTACATATCGCTGTATCCTTTCTGTTCCCTAGACGCTAGCCAACGTCTTGCGCTGCATCTTTAGCCTTTTAAAAATTTCACACGTTGATGCATGAAAAACTGCTGTTCCCTGCTCTATTTCAGTTGTTCAAAAGTTCTAACTGCAGGTCCATCACCCCCCCCCCCCCCAAAAAAAAAAAGCAAACAAACAAATTAAAGAAACATGCTGAGCTCAGATGCTGGTTTCACAGCCACACAGAGTCAGAAGCTTCTATTTGCTGCTGTGCCCCAAATGAGGTTTCCTGAAGTTTCTTTATTTATTCAAAACTAGCTTGCACTTTGATCTTTCAACAGAGGACCAGCGTGAGCCTGGATTTGGGTTTCCTTTCTACCAGCGTGTTTTCATTTTTGGGAAAAAAAAAGCACTAAAGTGAAATAGACGGCAGCCTCCGACACGCGAACGTCCACCTGCGTGTTTGTGCTGGCCGAAACCAGTAACTGACCCCTGAGCCTCACCTCTGACGGACAGAGAAGCCGTACCCCTGCCCATCAAAAACCTAAACATTCGGGCAGTCAGCAGGCAGAATGGATTTAGCCAGTGTTTACCGAGGCTCCTTGGGCTGGGACTCTTGGTTAACGCTGTGCTAACAGGGGATCATTCACACCTGCCGGCCCACTCCCAGCCAGTATCAACAGGCCGGCGGTCATTTGCATGTCCTGCCCACAACGATACAAGCACCCCTCCTGTGTCACTGTGTCGCATTGCTTGTCTGTCCAGTTGTAGCATATAGGAGCCTTATTTCCACTATTTTTTTTAGGGCAAGACCCTGAAATGATAGGCGTTCGGTCGGCCCTGCGGTGAAATGGACACGATAACCAGCATCCGGCAGAATTGGCTGAAATGCGGTTTTAGTAAGTCATCTACTGTGAGTGGCAGCTGGAGGTCTGCAGGAGGCGATCGGTGGCGGCTTCATTAGGGAACGTGTGCGCTTGTTAAGGATTGGGGTTTGCGTAGTGTGAGCCCGGTACCTTAGTGGCACTGTAAGGCGAAGCCGGCGAAAGGAGAAGGAAGTGCAAAGTAAATCCAGGATTCATTCTCTGCTCGCACATTTAGCTGTTGGAAATGTCTCTGATGACAGGTCTGGTCCCCCCCCCTAAGATGTGTAGCGGCGGGTCAGAGCTGTGTGTGACTCACCGCCGGGCTGACGTCGATGTAAGCCAGAAGTTCTGCAAAAACGACCAGTCGGAAAAAAGTACGGCGACGTGAGTCGGATATGCCGTTCACCCGGCTAATCGGAGGCCGTTAAAACTGCTCGTCAGTGTTTTTCTGATTTGTACAGCATTTTGAACCGTCCTCAAGCTTTCTCTACCGGCGGTGCCGGCCAGTTTCAAGTAAGAGCCACAAGAACTCCAACAAGATCCGTCCTTTGTTTGCCTCTGCTCTCATCTAGTTCCACTGCGCTAAGCCTCAAGTGTTTTTACTCCCGTCATTGTGGGTTTTTCTTGTTTATTTTTCCATCCACTGGCTGTCATCTTTTAATCAGACTTAGTCAAGATTAAAACCTTTCTTGTGAGGTGTGTTTATAATCTAGCAGGAGGTGTGTTGCTGCTGTGTAATCTGGCCGTCAGCCGCCTTCAAATCATTGTTGACACAGACTGGGCTGAAGGCTGACGGCTGTCAACTTCGACCGGGAGGCGACATGCCCCACTGACGATGCGCCTTCTTTTTCTGTTTTCAAAACGTGTCGCTGCTTTCCGTTAAACAAGGTAGGAGCAGGCCCGGCGGCCTCTCTGCGGGGCTGGCTGCAGATCACGTCCTACGATCCATATTAAAAAGGCATTAAGCACACGGCCCTGAAGCGGCCGCACAGCGTTTTTACTGCGCGCTATTCTGGGGGATTTATCTCCGGTGTGGATGTATATATGTTCACTTAGCGGGACATTTCCTCCCAGTGGATTTCTATTAGGGAAAATAAAGCTTAGAAGGCATGTAATGTAAAGGAGTCAGTGATTCCCACTTTGTTTACTATCCTTCTAGCCTGCGCGTCGTCCCGCCCGTTTACAGCAGATGATTCAGGTTTAGGTTTCGATTCCCATTTATCACGCACTTGAGGATGCTTCGGCTTCAGTGGATAGGCGTTTTTCACTGCGTTGAAATATTTATAAATGTCATTGTTGCTTTCGGATGTGATGCCAGGCTGTTCCGGCCACGTGCGCAGGCAGATTATTAGCAATAGAAGGAGGCTTCTGCATTGTGTCTAGACGAGCCCCTAAGCTTATTAGAAGCTACTTTCTCCAGTAGTCATCTTTCCTGACTCCCCCATTTGCAGATAGCCAACCCCCCCCCTCGACAAAAAAACTCAAAACTCGGCCTATGTGATGGAAGTCTGATTTATTGTATTCCTTTTTACCTTGAGTAGTGGATATTCTTCTCTGAAGCCCAAAAGGAGGCGGTGGTCATGGCAGACCTGAGGGGTCTGGTCTCCATGTGTCCCAGTGCCTCTTTCTCAGCCACCTTTGTGAAGCCGCGCCACGAGGACTCTGTTTATCGTCTTGCTTTGGGAGTATTTTTATGTTGACCCGTTTGTTCTGTTTGTGTTAACAGCAACATGAACCGTGAGGACCGGAATGTGCTCCGAATGAAAGAAAGAGAAAGGAGAAATCAAGAAATCCAGCAGGGAGGAGGAGAAGCCTTTCCAGCTAATTCCCCTCTTTTCCCCGAGCCCTACAAAGTTGTAAGTCTGTTTAACTTGTTCAGCCCTCTCCACGGTTGGCACGTGATTGACCACTTATTTTAGAGGAATTTCCAGCGCTGGCAGGAAGTGACAGCCCGCGTTCCCTCTCAGACCTTCATAGAACTGAAGGTTTGTTGTCCCGTGTGGGGTTTGGGTGTGATGGTCCTGTTTAAACTTGGCGTGACTTATTTCTCACTTATTAGTCTTTATTTCCGCCGTGTCCGAAAAGCGAACCAACGGGAGCGTTTGATCTTCTTTTAATGGCCTTCTGACATATTTAAACGCAGAGCATGATGGTTGTGTTAATGGTGATCAGGTGAAACAATCCTAAGTATTGATCTTTGGTTCAAATGGAGTGACATAAGACTAGGCACAAGACGGTGTGCGTCCTCGATTTGTTGCGTGGCTGTTGATGGTAAACAGAAGGAGCCGGGCGCACTAGCGGTGCTCCCCTAACCCCCCCCGTGTCTTCCCCCTTGTGCTGGCAGACACAGATGTAGGCCAACCAGCTCCTGCCAATACAATTGTAAAGCGGATTTCAGCTCTCCGTACTGGTCTAATCTTTGCCACTAACCAGATTTGAGCATATGTAAGTGGCTCCTCTCCTTAGCCGGAGCTAGCCATCAAAGAGGCAGCGGGGAATGTGTCCTGACAGGTTGAGAATAGAAAAGCCACCAGAGGTGAGGGATGAGCATTAGTGCGTGCGTGTGTGTTTTCAACCACAACAAAGTGAAAAACGAAAGCCGACATTGAGGATGCAGCACTGCCCTCGTCCTTCACCAGCAAAAAGAGCCGTTTCCAGCAAATATTTGTGCTCCGGGTGTTTATTCTATTCTTCTAAGCTTGCATCTGCCTTTTGGATAGAAAAGAAGCGGCATGTTGCAGAACTGAATACAGCCATTTGCTGAGGGCTTTTGGGTTGTTTTATCTACTGTCAACTGCTTCAGCGAAACTTCTCTAAGCTTTAGCTCGACTTTTCCCTCCCCTGTCATGCTCTGCTAAGTGGAAGTTTACAGTGTTCTGCGTTAAAGGCCATGTGTGCCCCCAGCTGCAGCTGTGGCCTCTCAAATGTAGACCAGCACAGCAGTAACCTTTTTTTTTTCTTTTTCTTTTTTATGGTGCAGAGTTGACGTGCTTGCTCATCTGCACTGACTGAAAAACTTTAACTGTCTGTGAAGCCGCAGGAGGTTTTACGAAAAAACAAGATATCTTTTAAGATATTTGTTGTTGTTTTTGTTTTTTCTTGGAGTGTTACTTGGGCATTATCGGTACATCTCTTTTGACCCAGGGTTAAATGGGAAATGAAGGTGGACATCCACGTTTTTGTCTCAACTATGTCGTAACAATTAGAATTGGATTCATGTCAGGTTGGCCTTTGGTAATAAACTCTCCACCTCTATTGTAGTTTCCTGTTTGGAAACGATGTTGCTCAGAGCCAAAGTTCGGCTCACGTCAGGCAAAGAGACCACTGAAGGGGTCTGTGACTTTGGCAGGACAGAGGAATAAAAACACAAGACGTCGAGCCTTCACGCTGTCAGGAGACCAAGTTTTAAGGTTACTTAAATAGTTGCCCAGCGGGTTTCTGCATTTTCAAAATGTTTTGACGTAACAGTTATTTAAGAGGGTGTAACAGGAGTCAGATATGATCTCTACGGTGTATTATACGTGTATAAATTGCAGCAAACATTCACACAAAAAGGAAAACTCTTTACTCTCAGAGCACAGTGCTGAGTGTCCCTATCAGGATGTCTTGGAAGAGAGACATTTATTAAAGTGTTTCAGATGTTTCCGTTGTTTTTTTGCTGTTTTTTCTTCTTATGAGTTTGTACAATAGAAGCCATTGTATATGGAACAACTTTGACTTAATAGTTCTACATAAAAAAACAAAAACATGTAGTGCCTCTCATTCTGAAAGTCTGTTCAAACTAAAAAGCAAAAAACAACGTCGTAGAAGAGAGGGGGGGGGGGGCACGGTATGACCAAGCTAGTTACATTTCCTGCTGCAGATAACGGCTCGTGTTTCCTCACCCTCAGTGTGAATTTGTAAAACAAAACAGAGGCGCAAATCTGCGTGCGAAACTGGATACTGTGTGCAGGCTGTTTTTCAAGCCGGTCAACTGGAACCCGGCAGCTTCCAGAGTGATTGATTAACCTCTGCAAGGTACAGTGGGCAGGCCTTATCTGAGTTCACTTGCGATTCGGGACTCATCTGGAACAAACTAAGTTTGACTGTTTTTTTCCCCCAGCTCATTCTGACGTTAACCTGGAGATAAACAGAAATAACATTTAGAAAATGCGATTTATTGTTACCGTTTTGAATGTGTGTTTGTGAAGTAAAAAAAAAAACAATTTCCCATTAATTTTTGTTTTCCGTGCTTTTTCTCCTTGTAACATCCTTTTGTTCATCACAATGACTCTGATTCTCTGTTCTTTATTCCCCTTCTCTCTCTTTAGGTCAGCAACGACGATAAACTGTCCAGTCGCATTCAGAGCATGCTGGGCAATTACGACGAGATGAAAGAGCCCATCGGTGACACACTTCCAAAGCTTGGGGGCAAACCCTCAAACAGCTCGTCCTCTTCCGAGGAGAAGTCGGGCCCGCCCCTGTTCGTCGGGGACCAGCGCGGCGCCGGTAATGGTGGCAGCAGCCAGAGCAGCAAGTGGACGCCCGTCGGCCCCGCCCCAGTCGGGCCCTCACCTCAGTCCCAGAAGCGCTCCGGACCACACAACAGCCAGAGAAGCAACGGCGGCAGCAGCAGCAGCGGCCAGAGAAGCGAGGCGCGAGAGAAGAAATCCAGCAAGCACGGCAGCGGGTCGGAGCACTCGAAGTCGCACACGTCCAGTCCGGCCAAGAGCTCCCTGAGCTCCTCCAACAGCCACTCCCGGAGCTCCCTTTCGGCGGAGCAGCCTATCGGCAAGGAGCGCTACCGCTCCAAGTCCCCGCGGGACCGGGAGGCCAACTGGGACTCGCCCTCGCGGGTGCACACCTCCTTCCCCAGCGGGCAGCACTCGAGCCAGGCCTTCCCCGCGTCCCTGTCCAAGCCGGGCTCCATGCTGCAGAAGCCCACGGCTTACGTGCGGCCCATGGACGGCCAGGAGACGGCGGAACCCAGGAATTCCCAAGCGGAGAGCTACAGCGGCCAGTCGCACAGCAGCACCATGGGAGAGGTGAAGTCCAACGGCAAGGCCTCGCTGTCCAAACTCAAGATCCCGTCCCAGCCTGTAGAAGTGAGTCTGCCGATGCTGGATTTCACTCATTGTCTGGCTTTAGAAAAAAAGTTTTATGTGAACCATTTGATTGTTTAATATTGGGTTTGTGTGACACTGAAAGAGAAGCATCACATTTATTCCGTTTAACTTTTTTAGAAGTCTATCTTAAAGCAGCAGTCAGACGCTCATTAAATCCCATCAGCTTCTGCTTGTTTTGGCCTAAACTGTCGGATGCATGTTGGAACTGTCCATTTAGTTAATCATTACCTTGAATGCACATTGAAAAACATTCTTATGGTGGTCAGTATAAACAGAAATAATGAGGAACAGGAACCATTGTTCAGTGTGCACAGGGTCACCTGATCACTGATCACCTGATCCATAAATTACTCCAAAGCTGCATTTAAAAATGATATAAATGTAGCGTTTACTGACTCACACCGACTAACTTATTTATTTCTGTTCTTAACAATGTCACCCAGCTAAATAACCTCTCAGGGTTTTACACACTGTCTGAATGAACTTCCAGTTCTCGTTAAATAGCTATAGGATGAGTCATGGTCCTCGAAATGGAAGCCACCCCTCACCTGCTGTACTGAGATCATGTTTTTTGGTGAAGACATATGCTAAGCATGCCGTTTCTGTGTTTAGGGAGCGGGTGACGCCAACTGTGTCGATGAAATCCTCAAGGTATGTACACACTTTGCATTTTTCTAAACGTTCCGTCTGTCAGGCCGCTGGGTTATTGTGATTATCCAGAGGAAAGCTTTCAAAGATGGAAGGAAATGGAGGGAGCTTTCAAATAACTCGCACCGCTTCGCCAGTGTGCACATTTTCCCTTTTGTTCACTTTTTTCTCATGTTTTTTTTCCCCCCCTCTAAATTCAGGAAATGACTCAGTCATGGCCTCCTCCACTGACAGCCATCCACACTCCCTGCAAAACAGAGCCCTCCAAGTTTCCATTCCCCACAAAGGTCAGCATCACACCTCTGGCATCGCCGACTCCTCCACTGAAGTCATTCTGTGTCTTGATAGATAAATAAAACCATAATGATTCATTCTTTATGCGGCCCCGATGTGACACACGCAGCCAGTCAGAGAAGCTGAACTGAGAAGAAACAAATTGCTTTTCACTTAGTTGTAATTTACTTTAAGATTTATTTAACACATGTTTTAACAACTTTTTAACAACTGCTAATGATATAAAGAAAACTTAACATTCAGTAATAGGAGAATAGAATAAACTGGTTGTTTGAAATAACTGAACTTGTTTTGTGTTTATCTCAGGATTCTCATCCTTTTCCAAGTGGACACAGTGAGTATTACAATTCAAACACGCATACAAATACAGAGTGCATTTTTGCATAATCCTTATGTATGTATGTGTATGTGTGTCTGTGGTTAAATGTACTGCATTCTCATGTAAGTTTTCCGTGTGTCTCAGAGCGAGGCAGTTCATCAAAAAGCTCCGGCGGCCACCAGCTCAAGGATTGCAATGACCCTCCGACGTAAGCGCCTCATCTCTTGACTCTTTCCTCTTCGTCGTCAATCGACGTCGAGAAAACACGGTCCTAGATTTGATTGTCCCATGATTAAGAAAGCCTCGCCGTCTCAGAGAGAGGAAAAAAAAACACTGATGTGAATAAGATGCAAAAAGTAACGTTCTCATTCTCATTTCTCAGCATGCTGAAAGAAGACCTGATGATCAGCAGCAGTGAGGACAGTGATGGTGAACAGGAAGCCAAGAATGCCTCAAGGAACACATCAGCAAGGTGAAGCAACAGCGGTTTTCTCATGCCGTCTTAGTTTTCTCATAATATTGAGCACTTCTAATCTACGCGTGAAGGTTTAGAAATGTGCTGGTTACTGGAGGTGTCCGTCTTTCAAGCTAATGTTAACAATGCCGCTCTCTCATCATTTGACTGAGCTGAAACTATACCGAACGCCACTTGACTCCCGTTTATCCAACAGCAATAACAGCGAAGCGGCGGAGCAGTCGCGGGAGGACTCGAGCAGCCACAGCGGCTCGGAGAGCAGCTCGGGCTCGGACAGCGAGAGCGAGAGCAGCACCACCGACAGCGAGGCCAACGAGCACCCGCGGCCCGCCTCCCCCATGGTAACCGCCCCACTCGCCCTCTGTTGTGCTTCCGCTCACCGTTGGGTTACGTAGGCCCAGCTTACAGCCATGGACTCATTCTGTTTTTTTCTTCCGTGCCCCTTAAGCCTGAACAGCCCACGTCCAACAAGTGGCAGCTGGACAACTGGTTCAAGAAGCAAGAGACCAAGCAGCTTTCGCCTGCCTCCCCCGCGGAAAACAACAGCGTGGCCCCCAAGTGCAAGAAAGAGGGCCGGGACAGCAGCCTGGGGCGGGGCTACTCGAGCGCCGGAGGGGGCTCCAAAGACTCGGCGGCCCCGCCCCCGAGCAGGGACCTGCGGGCGCCGCAGAAAGGGGCCGAGGGCGGCCGGGGCCGACAGAAGTCCCCCGCCCAGAGCGACGGCAGCACCAACCCCCGGGTCCGGGTGGACAAAAAGCAGCCCAAAAAATCCGAGAAGCCCCCCGTGGTGGAGGAGCCCAAGGGGGGCCTGAGAGTGGAGAGCGAGCCCGCTCCGGAACTGCCCCCCCACAGACCCAAAGCCGCCACCAAGGGCTCCCGCAAACCGAGCATCAAGAAGGAGCCAAAGTCCTCCCCTCGGCCCACCGCCCCCACGGTCACCACCACCACGGACAAACGCAAGACCAAGGCCCCCACGAAGACCCCCCAGTCTCGCGAGTTCGTCGAAACGGACTCCTCGTCGTCGGACTCCGAGGGCAACGACAGCATCCCGTCCTCCTCCCAGACCCCCAAGTACACGGAGAGCATCAGGACCCCCGTGTGTGTTCTGTCTCCGATGGAAGAGAAGGAGCTGTTGTCTCCTCTCAGTGAATCGGAGGTCCGCTACCCTGCTAGGCAGCCTCCGCAGCAGGTTTTACTAGTCAAAATAGGTGAGTTGAGATTCCTCGCCGGCCTCGTGTTCTGAGCATTTGCCTCATGCTTCTGCGGCTGAACTGCATTGCTCTGGACCAAACTGAACCCCACCCCACCAATTCCCTTCCTTTTTCCTTCCCATGTCCCATAGATCTCAGCTTGCTGTCTAGGATCCCAGGACGATCATACAAGGAACCCGTAGAGATCAAAGTGGAGAGGGAAAGCTCTCTAGACCGGGAGAGCAAGTTCACCAAGCAAATCAAAACCAAGAGGAAGCACAAGGTACAGCCAGTTTCCTGTTTGCTGTCTATTGATTACACACTTTTTTTTTCTAGAGTAATTTCCCATTCATCTGCTGGCCAGCATTTCTTCACAGAGCAGAAACTGAATTATCCACGACCAGATTTTGATGTGGATTTCTTGCCCTTTGCAAATTGTTCTCTCCTTTTTTAGGGCGGCTATTAAACAACTTTAGACAGAATTGTAATAAGAGCAAGAGCATTTTTTCTGCACACAGTGTTCAGATGAGTCAGAGTGACACCAGCCAATTACTGCTTTTAACATGTCTGTATCCCGTTTTTCTTGTTTTTCTTGTTTTTACCTTTAGAACGACGAGGAAGGGTCAAAAGAGAGTAAGAGATTCAAGCAAGAGAATAAGTCGCACCACAAAAGCAGCAGTAAAGAGTGAGTGTTATTATTATTATTATTGTTATTCTTCTTCTTATTATTATTATTATGAGACACAAAACCTCTCTAACGCAACAGTGATTCGTACCTCAACAGGTCTAAGAGGTCTTTGGAGAAGAAGGAGGAGCCGGTCCCCTCTCCCTCCATGTCCAGGACGCCAAAGGCTGAGCACCCGAGTCGGAAGAGGACGGTCAGCCAGTCGTCCACCTCGCTATCCAGCGGGACCGGATCCGGAAAAGAGAGCAGCCGCAGCACAAAGGGCAGCTCCAGCTCCAAGCGCGGCAAAGCCGAGGACAAGGGAAGCAGCTCACACGACGGCAAGGTGTGTGTCGGTAGCCCTGGAGAGAGCTACATCTGTCCAGTCCTCCAACAAATGTGCCCTTTTTGTTCACACGGGTCAAATAATCGCAGGACGTAATTATGCTGCTTTTACAGATCGAAGCTGAAAATTGGCTTTATTGTCAATATGGATCCACATGATTCATAAGTCTAACGTTTCTAGAACGCAATCCATTTCTACCCACGACTTCAGTTTCACTTCTCTTTTTTTTATAGTACAGAAGTAGGGGCTTGTTATTTGATTTTCATGTGTCTGAAAGCTTGTGTCCCGCCTGCCTCCTCTGCAGGAGAAATCCTCAAAGAGCTGCGATAACCAGCTGGCTGTGCCTCCTCTCCCCACGGACGGCTCCAAAAGATCCAAGCTGGTGTTTGAGGACAGGTAAGAGGAGCTCTTTCCACTGCGAATAACCTCTCAGTGGGACACAGAAGAAGAAGAAAAAAAAAAAACTGCTGCGGGGATCTAGGGTTGCCTTTGATGCACGAACCTGCGGGAGGTTGGGGAGGTCATGAATAGATCTGGCTGCGTGCCAGAAAAATGATGTAAATTTCCATTTAAAACGGCCCAGCGCTAGGACTCTGTGTCCTTTTCACGCTGTTATAAAGAAACAACAAGCGACTTCTCAGTCTTGTTCCTCGCTTTGATTTAATGGAAGGAGAGATCTTTAACTGCGCATACGTAGAAGCCGAGCCACTTCCAATGCTGTCGGTGAATCATTGGGCTTTCATCTGTGACTGATTTGTTCTGCTGATATTTTTGTTTCAGGGTTCATTCAGCTGATCACTACTTGCAGGAAGCCAAGAAGCTAAAGCACAATGCAGATGCACTGGTAAGGACTATTTGCAGCTGTAACCCAGAGGCTTCTGTCTCAGCCGTCGCATGTAGATTAGCCACAGGAGAGGAAAGCAAAATGAGTTAAAAGTATCCCGGTTTGTTGGCGTAGTTGCAATATTTTTAGTATTTTGGTTCGACTCAAGGTTTCTGATCACCAGTTTGATTCAGTTGAGTTCAGTCAAGTGGAAAAGGCCAACCGTAAAATGAAATCCTTCTGAGCAGAGAAAAAACAGTTTTGAATTTTCCCGCAGTTTTCACAACGGGACTCTTTCCGTTTGAGCCATTTAGGTGTTCTAAAGGTTGTTGATGCCTGTGTTTGAACAAACTTTGGCAGTCACCTGATACCACCCGCAAAAGAACGTGTGAAATTCACGCCACGCGGGCAGCATGTAGCACAGCAGCGTTGCACGGGACGGAGAGGGACTTCCACTCCTCACCTCTAACCCCCATTTCCATTGTGCTCTTTCCATAACAGGTGGACCGTTTCGACAAGGCAGTTTTCTATTTGGATGCCGTGGTGTCCTTTATTGAATGTGGCAACGCTCTAGAAAAGAGTGCCCAAGAGGCCAAGTCACCCTTCCCCATGTATGCCGAAACAGTGGAGCTCATCAAGTGAGTCTCAGCATGGATATTAGCGTTAGCTCCGTTGGTCGTGCTTAGTTAAATCAAATAATAAAAGTATTGCATTTGTTGCCTTGTTGGCAGCTAAAATATTGCTCTGCCTTTGTGTTCAGGTACACTATGAAGTTAAAAAACTACATGGCCCCAGACGCTACTTCAGCAGATAAGAGGCTAGCTGTGCTATGGTAAGTCTGCTGTCTTTTCTACCCTCTTTTGCTAGTTTCAGATGAGTTTTGTTTTGCTTAAAAAGCACTTCTCTTTCCAGCCTCCGGTGCCAGTCTCTGCTCTACCTTCGGCTGTTCAAGTTGAGGAAAGACAGTGCTCTGAAATACTCCAAAACACTCACGGAACACTTAAAGGTCTTTTTTCTTTTGGTAATATTTACTACAAGCTGACATCTGTATATCTTGGCAGATTTTTAGAGCAAAAGATATGCAGCAAAATTCCACATTTACACCTGTGATCCTGCTTCATGTTCCCTCCCTCGTTTCCTTTTGACAGAACTCTCTGAGTAACACCCAGGCTCCCTCTCCTGGAATGGGAAAGTAAGTCGCGTCCTCCTTTTGTTGTTTGCAGAGTCGTTGTCACTGCATGCTAAAGGAGGCCTCGGTTTCCTCTTTAAGTTTCGCACGTTTGGTTGGGAGTTTAACAGCTTCACTCAAAGACCTGCTGCCTCTTTCTGTTATTCCTCGGCCGCGGTTGTAATTTCTAAATCGCGTCGAGCCGCCGCCACCAAATTGAGTTGTGTGTCTCGTTTGTCTGCTTCCGCGTGCAGCAAGGCAGCAGGCATGCCCTCGCCGGTGTCGCCCAAGCTGTCGCCGGGCACGGCGGGCAGCTACTCCTCAGTGGTCAGCAGCAGCAGCGCCAGCACGTCCGTGACCATACCTCAACGGATCCACCAGATGGCCGCCAGCTACGTCCAGGTCACCTCCAACTTCCTGTACGCCACGGAGATCTGGGACCAGGCCGAGCAGCTGTCCAAGGAGCAGAAAGGTACGGCGGGTCTGTTTTTAGGTAGCTGTCCAGTTGTCTCGCATCTTTTCTGATACAAAAATGGTTTTATTACAAGTCATAGTGGATCATTTAAACTTTTTCTAAATTTTAAAGGTCAGTTATTCACTTGCCTCTCACTGCCCCCTCCTCCTCCTCCTCCTCCCCCCCACAGACTTTTTCTCAGAGTTGGACAAAGTGATGGGTCCTCTGATCTTCAACACCAGCAGCATGACAGAACTGGTGCGTTACACACGTCAGGGCCTCCACTGGCTGCGTCTGGATGCTAAAGCTCTTCCCTAGCGAGCGCTCAGCGCTGGCACGCCGCTTCCTCACACATACACACACACACCCCTGCGCCTGAGCTTTTTGTGCTCAGCAGCCTCTGCTCAAAGACACACACACACCCTCAGAGCGGACAAACACAACTACGTACTGTATGCATACACACACACACACACACACACACACACAGTCCACCTCTGGTCCTCCATGTACGCTAACATGTGACGAGCTTCTCAGACATATCTCCAACACTGTGTCCATTTCTCTGCACCAGCTTGCCAAAAACAAAAAAAAAAACACTGAGCAACTCAGAACTCCTCACACCGTCGGCGGCACCACACAGGGAAGACTCGGAGTCAGAAGTCCAAACACCAATCCAGAGCTTATCGCCTGGCTTCATATTACCGGCATTCTTCTGAAAACCTTGATGGCCATGTTTTTAATCTCTTTGGCATGTCAGCGCTGGGTGAATTTGTTGCTATTGATACACTAAAACTGGGGTTTTATTTATAGGCTACTTTGGCTTTTAACTTTTTATTTCACCTTGTTTCACCAAAGTACCTCCCAGGAAACACCAAAGGTGCTTTAAAAATGAAGGTTTCTCTTTATCATTTCTGTGCCTTGTATGTGAGCTACAGGAAGAAGAAGAAAAGAAAGTCTCCAGTAATATCTGTTTTTTTTCCTTTATGTTATGCCACAGTTATCATGTATACTTTAATAGTCTCACAGTTAATGGAAGCTGGCACCAGCTATATTTAAGTTGCAGCTTCCAAGTAAACTCAAAGGCAACGTTGGTCGTCCCGGATGAAACTACCGTGTGCTTTCACCTCTCGTCAAGCTCTATCGGAACAAGAGGATCATCTCAAAGGATGCCCCCCCCCAAAAAAAAAACTAAAGGAAGGGCTACTGTGCACAGCAGATTAATACTTCAGCCACAACTATTTATAAGCTTTTTTTTTTTTTTTCAAAGCTATAATAATCACTTTAATAGTTTTTAACAGATCATGGAATTCTTTTGTTAAATGTCACAAACCTCCCCTCCTGCTTTTAAATTAAAAGGTTGATCAATTATTTAATTATTTTGGAATCACTGCGCCCACCGTCGAGAAGCAGGGGCTGTTGGACTCTTGGCCTTAATGAAATGAATCACGTTAACGGTGACCTTTTTCTGGACTTTCAGAGCCTCTGAAATTCTGCACCTGCAAAATTATTTTTGGTCAATTCATTTTTTTTTTTTTTTTCAACTTTTTTCCCACTTGTAGCTCCATCGTTTTTTAAATTTCCTCAAGCAGGAGTTTTTTCCACTCAGTGTTAGTCTTTTTTTTTTTTTTAGTCCCTTTTTTTTTGTCTTAGAGTATATTTTTTCTAAGGAACAGCAGGGACTGTCATAAGTATTGAAGATTGTGTCCACATATACATTGCAGTTATTTACGTTGCAGTTTCCGGAAACTGGGCCTGAGTTTCAACTGATTTGGCACAATCAATCAAATTTATTTGAAAGTGAAAAAAACCCAGAGGTGGTAGAGAGTAGAAGTGTTGCATTTATATGAGAGTTTTAACCTTTGACTGTATATCTCAAATAAGAAATATAATGACCAATATAAATTCTATTTATATACTACGCAGTTTTTCTTTTTTTGTTTTTTCTTATTTTCTTTATCTCCTAGCCAAGCAAATGCAAAATTTGGAATTGCAACAGGGGTTCTGAGAACAAGTATTTGTAGTGTTATTCTTCCTATTGAGATTCTAAAGCTGAAATCATGCTTGTTTTACAAGAGAGTAAATGGTACAGCAGGCGGAGTAGCATTTACCGAATGTGTACGCCTGCTTTCTAGATTTGATTATTTGTGAATTTTTAACTTAAATGAATTGTCTTTTCTGAGTATTCTAAGCCGACATCTTACTAAAACATGCTGGAAACGCAAAGCCTGGGCCAAACGGCTTCTGTGTCAACTAACACAGCTGGATTTGCTTCAAGTGGACAACAAGATTCCACAAAGTTGAGGGCCTGTCTTTACCTTTGTGGTTCTTGCTTGGATTTACGACCTTAAAAAAAACAAATCCAGCGTCGGCCCGGCTTTGCCCATTTCTCACACTGCGTTTCTTCACTGGCTCCCTGGCCTTGACCGCGAGAGGGGATACTGTTATTTTTCTCTTACACTTGAAAAAGAGGAAGTATTATTTTTGATCTATGCAGGATTTTTACAGAATCAAAAACCTCTTTTTTTTCTCTTTCTGTGAAGAAGAAACTTTTTTTTTTTTCTTTTGTCAAAGCTTGGATTTGTTTTTCTCCATCTTTCTTTCTCCTTTCTGCCTCAGTGAGAAACCTGTTGAACTCAAGTGTCCAATGCCTTCAGCTTTTGCAATTTTGTGTACTGGTTCAGTATACAAGTGTATATAAATCTTTTTTTTTCTTTTTCTTCTTTTTTTTGTTTTTGTGATAACAGATGGCTTTAAGCCATTTTGTACTTAAAGCTGGAGGCAACTTTTCTCATAAGAATTCCTCTTTGGGTTTTGCCAGCCCAGTTCATGTCTTCATACACTGGTACACTTTGTAAGTTGATGTCAGCGCCTTGTGTTCCCTACACACTATCTTCTAGTCATAAGTTTAAGAAAAAAAAACAGAAAAAAGAACGAAAAAAAAATTAGCATTAGAGTAATTTTTAACAGTTTGCTACTCACAGTTATTTATTTTTCTGCCCCTTTGCTTAATGTTTTTTTTCTATTTTGCCTTTTTTAAAGAGCGCCATTTTATGAAATAGGAAGATGTAAATGTTCTGGGATTATTCATGATGAGATTTCATTGTAAGTAGTAATTAATATTAATTCTAACTTGAAAATATCCAGGGTAAGATGAGGTTTTTTTTGACATTCAGTAGGAAGGTGTTAACACTTGCATGTTTCTATTTAAATACAGTTGTATAAATTGTAAATATAACATTTCTTTAAGGGTGAATTTCTACTACAGGTTGACATTTTTATTAAATTTAAAAAAAGGCTGTAAATATATTGTGAGATACTTTATGCACATTGGTTATTCTCTGTGGGCTTTTCTCCTCTCTTCCTCCCTCCCCCTCCCATATGACGTTACAGATGTTCCAAGTCTGTTAACCCTGTAAATCAAGTTGATTTCCCTGTTCTTTTCTTACGTGCTCGTATACTTTGTCTCCTTCACTTTTTCTCATAGTATCATGGTCGCCACATAATCATTCATGTCTCAGAATCCAAGTGCGAATATTTTTGGCCACTCTGTATTTAATATGGAGCGGTGTACTTCATTAAATGTATATTGTTGAGATCATGGGATGGATGGATGGCATGTACAGTCTGTTGTCTGTTTCTTCCTCAGAGAGATGTGTATTTACTATGTGTCCATTTTGAGCAGCTGGTCCAACATGTCTTTTGAAACAGAGGTATTTCTCCACACTTCAGAACAGTTGTAGCAGTTTATACAGTATGTTGTATAACGGCTTTTTCTAAAAGTTGTCTCCCAAGTGAGACCAGCAGCATACACTATGTACAATAATCTAAATTGGACTAGTTTTAAGAGAACCGATAGAGATACTATATATGATGGATGCAATATGACTCAAGGTACTCGTTGGGTTTGATCTTCAAACTTAGGTGATGTAATTTAAAAGCATTTTTGTGCAGTGAGTATTAATTGTGACTAATGAGTCTGTCCTAAATATTCTTTGTATTTTGCTGTATTGAGAATAAAATATATATGGAATATGTTTGAGTTTTGGGTTATTTTGCATTTCTGGCATGCGATCCATGTAATCCTGTTGGCAAAAGACATTTTGGGAAGTACTGAACTTTTGCCTTTGTTTTTCTGTCTTGTAGAAGCACTACAAGAAGGAATTTGACGCCTGTCTTTCCATTAATTACAGCTTTGTTTTTGGGTAACCGTTTCATTTGTTTTGGCTACTGATAGAGGGAGTTTGGAAGTTACTATAGAGATATTCACGTGAACTTTTAAAAGGTTACCAGTTAAAAAGGTGAAAGAAGGCTTTAAAGACTAGATCAGTGGTCCAACAAAAGAAAGATCTAAGCTCATCTAAATCTAGAGGAAAATACTCAGTGCTTTCTAGAACATTTGTGTGGTTCTTTTAGATTATATATGAACCTGATTTGGATATAAGTAACATTTTATGTTCCTCAAATAACTTATTTCAGTCTTTCCATGTACTCTATGTGCTATGCTGAAACAGATATTACACAACTGACCCATTAACATTGAGATGTTGTCATTTAAACTACAAAAACATTTCTTTCTCAGTTGTTTATGTGTGTTAAATAGAAAGAAAGGTGTTTAGTTAATCTTTTTGCACCAAAACACTGTTCAAAGCAGTTTATGTAGGTTTGCATTGCAGAGCTCCTTACAAACGATTAGCTCCCCTCAAGCCTCAGAGCTTTAACTCTTACATAGAATTTCTATGTATTTCATCACAACTCTATCTCTTTGTCATCTTACAATTAGATGACTGTGGCATTTAAAATTAGGCTATTTTCCACTATTGGCCATTGCTGTCATCAAAGATCATGGACATGTTAAAGGGCATATTCAACACATGCAGGACGTCAGTAGTTGCACTGAAAGAGCCAAAGCGACCAGAAAGTACCAACATGGAATGTGTGGGCTTTCTGTGGACTTTGAGGATCATTTATACTAGTTGACAAGCCTAGTGCCATAGTTGGATCCACCATTTGATAGTTTTCCCCTTCCTTATGATTGTGTTGTGTCATGTATGTGGCAAATTCATGTCTTTTTGGCTTTTTCTGTCTCTATGGTGTCATTCAAAATGGTTTTTGTTGTAATATTTTGTAACCTTTATGGGGTGTGCTGTGTGTGGGGGTTGTATTGTCTTCATGTGACACACACGCACACGCACAAACACGACTTATTGTGCGCGTTTGCCAACATCTTAAGCGTCTTCATGGTCATTTCCAGCCACATATTTTCAATCCTCCAAACTAAGTTAACTTTTTATATCACTATTTTGTATCTTTAATCTAATGATCCATATTTATATTTTTAAGTGCGCCATGACTCAACGGTGTCCAGTAACTGGCAACTCCTCAACATCTAACGCGTTTCCTCCAGTGTACTGTTCGGTTTCCCCTGCTCTCACTGATGTGAAGATCAACAAAACAATGCACGGAAAACTCGCCTTTTTTTTCTCTGCTCCGCCATTAAAACAAGCCAACCAATGCCGTGTCGCCAATTCCCAAAGCGCCCGCCTCCAGCCACATCTGATTGGTCCAGGCGGAGCTCTGTTACCTTTCATCCGCTTGTCCCTCCAGGGAGTAAGGTAAACTCACTGCGAGGGGAGGAGAAGGAAAGCTTATTACTTGACAATGAAGCACACAGCAGGCATTTACAGAAGAGGGACTTGTTCCCAATAGCTAGTCCCCCGCCCACCACCCTTTGCGACTCCAGAAAAGGGGGCTCGTCCAAGGGGAACGAGGACTACAAGTTGAAAAATCGTGGAGCGACCGGGAATTTCCAGGTACGTGAAGGGTTCTCGGGCAGCAGCAGGTGCATTTAGTATCACCTTGGCTGCTCAGTTTCGGTTGTCACTTGTCACTGTCCGGACTCAAATTGACTGCGAAGACGGTGGAGGGATAAGTTTATGAAAACAAACGTGACTTATTTACCGCTAACCCCTGTTTTTTGTAGTTTTTTTGTAGTTTTTTTAAAACAATGTTTTCGTTCCCCCGTGACGGTTGCAGAATAGCCTGTCCTTGAATGAGCCACGACTGTTTTCAGAACATTTCTGTTGGGATTTACGACAGAAGACAAACGTTGTTTTGGTGTTCTGTCGGAGCATATGCAGCCACTTTTGAAAGGTATGGCTATCTTCTATATATATTTGTTTCTAACTTAATGGACATTTTGTATTTATCTCTCAAAACCGTGTGGTGAGACACCTGTGGCATGATAGCAAACAGTAGAACTGAAATGATTAGTCTCCAAATCTAATGTGGATGGCGGGGCAAGGAAAACAACAGTTTAACTACTACTTTGGACGTGTTTTTGCAGTGCAGTTGCCTGGAGAGCCCAACTTCTGCCCCAAATACTGTTATCACCACATTTTAATAGCCGTCTCCACTCAATGTGATGCCCAGAGGCCGCCGCCTGACAGAGCTGTCCCTGCCTCACCTCATCCCCCTTCCCTCAGAAATTGATACCTTGGTCTAAATTATGCACATGGGTGCCTTTTTACCAAATGAGTGGACTATGTTTTATTCAGAAGTTTGAACAAAAGGCATGGCCGCAGCAAGGTGGCTCAGGAGAGAGGGAGAGGGGGGGTGGAACCGGACACTGTGGTTTTGTGTTGTGGCATGAATCTGAAGCTGTCATGCGAAGCGCTGGTCAGATGGTGGGTGAAAGGGCAGCACACTGGGCCCTCTGTGCGCCGCTCACGGCTGCCTGATGTCCGGTCTCCGGCCAGGTCGGCCCCATCCGCCCCGAGGCCGCACCTTTGGAGACCTTTGGACAAAAGTTAGCGGCGGACAGATGTTCATTGTGCTTACAGAGACACAACGAACACCATCTGACCCCTCTCATTCATTTGAATAGATAAAGGAGCCATCACCTGCAAGAGGAAAAAGGTCAGAGGTTCGATTCCGGCTTCGGTGTCTATGCATCCTCGGCGCCTAAATGTTTAGTATATCTGCTGACTGCAGAAATGTAAACGCAGACCACTTTATGCTGAACCAAAGCATGCGAGCACATGGCAAAACACTCATTTGTTAATTTCGTCCAGGCGTGTGGTGTGTACACAAGCATGAGCGGGTGGATTTTCTGTTGACACGAAGATTAAAGACAGACGGAAACATTAGATGGAAGTAAACATAAGGGCAGGGCTGTAAAATACAGAAGGATCATAGAGGTTGTGTGTAATACACTCACTCTGGGTGTTAAAACAGGATGCCTTTCCCATCCTTGCTTTTTTTTCTTTTCTTTTTTGTGTTAAATCTATTGAAATAAAGTCCACAACACAAGATATGCTTTGCGTGGGGCAGTCATTAGCCCCTGGTAAATATAGGTGTTAGAGTGGGTGGGGATGGTTGTTTTGAGCTGTGGAAATTTACTCTGTGTGAGTTTTGAATGTGTGGTTTTGCCTGGGATGTTTACATTCTTCCTGTGACCTTTCGCACCGTTCACCTCAAGAAGAAGCGACCTAACGGTCTGTTGGGGGCCTGCGGCAGGTCCAGATCATCTGTGCCCCGCTGAGACGTGGGATTTAGGCAGAGGCACTGCAAACCGAAGGAGTTGGAATTCATTTGTTGATATAAACTGGGATTACTCAAATGAAAGCAGCCACAGGTTAAATCGGTCTTTGTCGGATTATCGCTGCTGCTGGAATTGATTCATCTTCACTCTGCGTTGCTTTTAATTTCTCTGAAGGTGTCAGACAGTGGCCGGCGAGTCGTTGCTGTAAATCGCAAATTTGGGTTGTTCTTACCTTTTACGGTTCACGCCTTCCCCGTACCGGAATGGTGAAGTGGTAATTCCACCTCTTCCTTTGTAGCCGAGGCTTCACTGGCAGCTCATTTTCAGGAAAGCAGAAATGTCTTCCCTTTTGTTGAGGAAAGAGCAGAAGTTCTGCATGACTCACCCCAGCAGGAAGGGGGATTTTCTGGCATTTTATTTTAAGAGAGAAGTGTTTTTGTAGGCATGAAAAAAGGTGGAGGACAATAACGCATTAGCTGAATCAGATAAGTGGGACTAATTCTATTGTGTTCGGGAAAAAAGTCAAGGTTTCTTTTGTAGGCCAAAGTGCACCAGACATGTTATTATCTATGAGGTAAGAGGTATTTGAAGCCAAAATCTGGGACCTTATGTCATGTAGAAGTTGTTCTTGAAGCGGGGTGATACTGGGACTTAATAATTCAACTCTAAAAGTAGCATGGTGGTTCTTTAGCGTTCTGTCTGCTGGTTTTGGTAGAACGTCCTTGGAAAGGCTGATAAGATGATCTGGGCACATATTACAGGGGAGGAATCTCTGCACAGGCCTTCAGGTATGCCTCAAAAGATAAACAGCGTCCATCGTTTAATTTTTTTGAGAGGGAGCATAGAAGAGGAAGAGAAAGTTTAAGCATTTATACTGGATTGTCTGCAGATTGTCTCCCACTTGATTCTCTGCTTACAGAGTCAGCCTTCGTCTTCTTTCCTGTGTGCGGTTCGGAGCTATTTTGTCACCAGGACGTGAAAGACCCTGCTTGCTTTATTCTTCTCTTTGGTGTTTCTGGGTTTGACCACTCACTTGGTTGTAATTGCGATCTGTTGTGGGACCCTCCCTCTTTTGTCTGAGGAGCAGAAAGGTCTCAAAGAGTCCCACATAACTGAGAGACAGAAAAGAGAAAAATAGCTGACAGAAGGTATTAATGGTTAATATGAGACCTCCTGCGGACAGGCTGGAAATTATGTGCCTATTCTAGGTCTCTGACAGGGCCACACCTTCTCTATTGTACGGCCCCATAAGGCCCTTATTGTCACACATCAGGGTCAGATGACATGTGTGTGTGTTTAAGACAGATCAACCCATAGGCGCCACACACTCCCGACTCCCTAAAACCATAATTTTTCTCCCCCCTGCCTGCCTTTGCTGAACTTTGCAGGTCACTACAAAGAAATGGCCCTACCAAACGGTGATTTTGGAGACTTCAGCGGTTGCTTTAGCGCTTTAATCTTTGTTGACTTTCAGATTTACGAGAAAATCTCG